GGTATAGACTAAAATGTAGGAGGAACATTGGGGTGGGGGTGGGTCAGGGTGGGGGTAAGAGGTCTGGAGAGGTGTGTTTCAGCAGGAGGCCACTTTCCAATTCCCAGTCTTAATCCACTATGTCCTTGTCTAGTCTTTAAGAATTGCCTCTTCTCTGTCCCTGTTCCAGGATTCCTGATTCTTACCCCTTCGCAGAACCCCATGCTCACATTCCTTGGTAATGCGATGAACTCCTGTGGATCTGGAGGCCCATCCCCCAGGGCCAGCTTGGTCATTATTCGCAGGAGGCTGTTTACTGATGGCCTCCCCATTCCTCCACCCCCAAACAGGGACCAGGGAATCTTTTCTGGGTCTATGTCCTGATTCAGGTAGGATGTCTATGAGGCAATGCTCCCTGCCTGTCAGCTTGGGTGACAACAGGGATCACTGGCCAAATGGGGATCCCTGCCCTTTGCCCAGTACCCTAAGCTCTCAGCTCTAAGGACCCTTTATATTAAGCATTAGCCCAGGAGTCCTGCTTGGCAGGAAAGCTGTGGCAGGTGGGAGGAGAAAAGAAGGCAGTGAGGCAGAAACAGCTGCCAGCCGGAGTGGAGGAAGAGCAGGGCCCCAGTGGGTATGGGCAGAAGGCAAGGCGGTGGCTCTAGCAGCCCCCCACCCTCTCCCCATGTGTGGGTGTCAGACCCAACCTCCTTTCCCAGCCCTCCCCTTCCAATGCTGCTGTTCAGGAAGCAGGCTCTGCTCATGGGCCTAATCACTGGGCTGAAATAGACCTCAGAGGTCATCTGGCCCAACTCCCCTTGTAATGTGATGCTAGAGTCAGCTCTAAAGCACTTGGACCCAAGGTTCTACTTATATCAGGCCAGATACTTTCTGGGAGCAGTCTGTTTCTTCTTTGGAAGGAAAAAAATCTGTGACATGAGTGACTGATGTGCCAGGCCTAGATACTGTACAGACTTCTCATTAATCACGACATCACAGAGCTTTCCTGAAGAACTAGCTCCATTTTACAAATGAGAAAAGTGAGGCTGAGAGAGTTGAAGTCCCTAGCTCAAGGTCACACAGGTAATAAAGAAGCTAGGTTCAAACCTAGGACTTTGGTTTTTGATTGTTTGTTTTGGGTTTAATTTTTTTTTTTTTTTTTTGGTACCAGGGACTCTCTAGTCCTTTTTTAAATTTTGAGACAGGATCTTTCTAAGTGGCTTAGGGCCTTGCTAAATTGCTGAGACTGGCTTTGAAGTTGCAATCCTCCTGCCTCAGTCTCCCAAGACACTGGGATTAAAAGCATGCACCACCACACCCAGCAGGACTTTCTAACTATAAAGTCCCTCTGGGACCAGCAGGACATGTGTCTTCTTTTGTACTAGGACAACTTTTATAAGGTGTGAAGTCCAAGATCATTTCTCTTGATTCTCCCCTTTTCCAGGTCAAACTGTTTGTAGAACTCTTTCCAGAACTTGAGTTACAGCCCCTTTCTTAACCTGGTCAAAGTGATATCTGGCACAAAACACACAGTTGGCCAGGTAGATTTGGGCCAATTCAGAATAGAACAGAACTATCACATCCTTCCTGGGCAATAATCTGGATCAATGCAGCCCAATGGGCAATAAGAGAACTGAGAATATCCTTCCCTTTGGCCTGTGGACCTCTTAGATGAAGAGCCATGAGAAAAGAAGCCAGGGGTTTGTGCCCACCTTCACCACTCCCCTGAGTCTTAATGTTCTTAATTGAGATCAGGAAAGAGAGGGGAGAGACAAACAGAACTAGGTGGGGGCTTGGCAGGATTGGGAGGGTGGAGAGGAAGGTGGAGAGATGGGTGGAGACTGAGGTGGTTGTCCAGTAACCTTATGCAAAGTTAAGGGAAGGACAGAGCTTGGGGGGTGCACAGGGAGATAAGGTGGAGTTGGACTTGGCCCCAAGAATTGGGAGAGGCCAGGGTGGGGATGGGCATCAGCCTGCCTGGGTTAACATCGTCCTGCTGTGCGAGAGGAAGTCAGTCGCACATTAAGGAAATGTTGCAGCTAGTACTAAATTGGGAGGTGTCACAGGCAGCAGTGAGCACAGGTATGATTTGTGGGGCTCTGTGGGGCCCAAAACAGGGGCAGACATTGCAGAGGGAAAGAACAGGGTTTCTGGGGGCCATCCAGAAAAAGATAGTACTAAGGTGCTCAGAACAATGGCCTCGAGGACATGGAGTCAATTGGCCTGGGAACTAAGGCTCCAGGCTTGGTTTCCAAAAGTAGAAGAACCACCTTATTCTGGCCTCAGGCTGTAGGCTCTGCACCCAAGAGCAGCTCCCAGGGTGGGGCATCATCTTCCAGGGATCCCACAGGAGGCCTTAGAGCCCAGGAGCAAGCTTGTGATTAGCAAAGAAGGATAGCAATGGAGATGGGGTGAAGGGCTGAGGAGAGAAGGGGCTGTAGGAAGGAGAGGAACAGGGCTGTCTTTCCCCTTAGTGCCCACAATACAGCTGGATTTGAGAGCCATATGGGTCCAGGCCTTAGTTGAGGGAAAGAGATTTGGAAGAGGGGTGGGAAAGACAAGAAGAGAGCTGTGGAGCTGGCACTGCCCTTCTGCCGGCACAGCAGGCAGCAAGAGAGCAGGAGTTGTTCCTTAGCTTGCAGGAGAGAGACACAAGGAGACCAAGGAGACAAAGGAGAGGAGGGAGGGCTGTGGGGAACTTGATGGGAGGCAATGACAAAAGCATGGGCTTTACACTTGGAACATATGGGTTGGAGTCCTGGCACTCCTGCCTATTGGCTGACTGACCTTAAGGCAAATGGCTTGATCTCGCTACACCTCAGTTTCCTCATCTGTAAAATGGGGTAGTGATATTACCAACCTCCCTGGGCAGCTCTGATCTCATAAAATATGTTAAAGAGGTTGAAAACCCTAAGCATTAAATCGATGCCAGATACTAGATTCTTATTAAAAAATACTATCAGCTACTTCTTCCCACTTAAATCTCACAAAATACCCAGAATGTGGGCAGGGCAAGGATTATTATTCCTGTTTCACAAATGAGGAAATGAAAGCTTAGAGAAGTGAAGTGACTTGCCCAAGGTCATACTGCTAACAAGTTGTACAGGTAATAAGACCTTCTGAATCAGAAATCAGTTGTCTTCTGCATCAAACTGCTTGATAGAAATAATCAATGCAGGGGATTATTATTTCATGCAGGGTTAGATGGGGCTTGGAGCCAACTCTAAGATGCAGAAAACCTCATGGGAAAGTTGTGCCATGGTTCTCATTCATCCTGCTGATTGAGAGAAGAAAAAGAAAACAGTGGGGCTATGGGATTGGAGGGAGGAACACAAAAGATGGACATCCTTTATTCCGTCTGCTAGTGAACCATGTTCCTCTGTTCCCACTGATTGTGTCTGTGGCAGACATTGAGGATATGTGTCTTTATCTCTATATGACAAAATGTGTCCTTCTTCATGTGACAGTACTTCCGCCTGCGTGTCTCTGACACCATGGGGAGATGCGCGTGTGTGTGACATGGTGTCTGCTTCCATGGCACTGTTCGTGGGTGTGACGACCTCTCCATATCTCTGTGTGTCTTTGCCCAGGGTGGTGTTGGTGTTGGTGTGTGGCCGTGTGTGTGTGTGTGTGTGTGTGTGTGTGTCTGTCTGTCTGTACACCTTTAAGAAGTGGAATATCTCATTTGGTAGTGTGAGTGAGGCAGTGAGTCAGCTGAGGCTGAGGGAGGCGGGAGGAGACTGCTAGGTTACGAGAACAGGAAAAGGGAGAAGGAGAAAGTGAAGTCATGGACAAGGAGCTACCCCTTTCCTCCCCAACCCTCTTCCCCAAGTTCCTATGGAGCCCACCAAGAGCAAGGAAAACCTTGCAGAAGTCCACAGAAGCCAAGCTGGATGGAAGGGGGGGGGGCACTTTCTGCCCCTCCCCAATGCCTTGGAGGGAGATGAGCTAAGCTAGGAGGCAACTGTCTGCTTCTCTCCAGCTCTCTGCCCCTACCTTCAGAATGTGTGAGGCCACCACCCCACCTGGTCTCCTTGCTGCTTGACCCTTTGACCTTGCTGTTCTCTTTCCTTCAAAAGACAAGCCACCTGGCAAGGTATGGAGAACTGGGCAGTAGCATCAGGTCCCAAATATCTATAGCTCCCACCCACCTACTCTCCAGAACTCCCCTGATGAGGGTCAAGAAGTTTCTCAACACTCAGCTCCTCTCTAGACAGGCCTGTTCTGCAGCTGCCATACCTCTTGAGACTCTCCTCTCTGGATGCCAGTTCCTAGCAGCCAGAAAACCAGTGTTCCCTCCACTGCCACCCTGGGGCGCTGGGAAGGCACTGGGAGTTCTGTAATGCACCAATCTTCAGTGGCCCTTTCCTCCACAAGCCAGTATCACCTGTTCCCTGCTCATTCCTTTGTCAGGGGAGAGCACCCTGCAGGTTCCCTCCTTGGAAGAAGGCAGGCACCCCTGGGCTCCACCTGCCTAGGCTCTAGCCAGCCACCTCAGGTCACATAAGGTCAACAGGGTGGTGTGTCCTACCATCAGGAGTGCACCTCCTCTCACCCATTGGCAAGAGCCAAGGGTAAAGCATTAGGTTGCCAAATATTCTCCTTCCTCTGTTGGCCTTCCCTCCCTGCACCAGCCAGTCCCGGGACTTTCAATTTCAGCCCATGCAAGGAGTGTGGCACAGCTGGCTGGGGATGAGGGCTGGGGGAACACAACCTCTCCTTCCACCCCTTTGCCAGCCCAAGACCCCAGGACCCCTCCCTCCTTGGGCCGGGGCGGGGCGCCAGAAAGCCCCTGCCCTAAGATATTGGAACCTGGAATTAATAGAAGTTGCCCAGGTGATTACCTTGCCTGAATCCCCGAGCCCCTTCTCTAGGGAGGGGCCCGGGGTGGCACTTGCAGTGCCGCACTGGGAAGGGTGGAAGTGGTGGAGTGGGTGGAAGGAGACCTTTTTTCTCCCCGTTCTAATGTCACTGCTGCCGCTACCCAGGCAGCCGTTGTGGCCGCGGACGCCAATCCCTACCTTGCAGCCTTTCGTGCAGGACCGGATTGAGTACTCTTCTGCCTGTAAGTATTTATGCAGCACGAGGTCGAACTCGTCATATTTTTCCTGAGCATGTCGGTCCAGTCGCTGGTATGCCTCGATACAGTTGCTACATGCCTCCCAGGCACCGGAGCCCGGGCTGGCCACCACGGCCAGCAGGTCCCCCAGCAGGGTGTCCAGACTGCAGTCCAGGCTGTCGGGGCGGTCCATGCCCAGCAGCAAGTCCCAGACCGTGTAGGTGTCGCAAAAGGAGAGAGTGAAGTTCCGAAAGTGGCCTTTGAGCAAGTTTTTTTTGGCGGAGGGGAACTCGGCCCGGGCACGGGAAGGGGAGTCAGGGGGCCGCAGAGGGGGGGCCGGGGTAGTCGGTTCGAAAAGTCTCTGCAAAGATTCCAATTTGGTGCAAGCTGCGTCCAGCCCCGTGGGCTCTGGGACGCCACCGCAGACCTGCCCGGGGCCGGCGGCGGCGGGGGCGGCTTTGGTCAGATTGCTGTATCGGGGCCCGCAGGTGCCCGGGGGCGCGCTGGGCTCGCCGGGCGACGGCGGCGGCGGCGGCGGCAACGGCAGCACCGCACGAGGAGGCACCGGCTGCCGCTCACGGCCAGCCCCCCAGGGTGGCCGCATGGCGCTGCTCAGCTCCCTGGCCCGGGGCCGGGCCCCCGCGCACAGCCACAGATGGTCAGCGAGCAGCACGGTGAAGAAGAGCAGGGACGCCAGGGACAGTCGCCATCGCTGCGCCCGCTCGGAGTCGGCGCAAGGTTTGTCGCTCGGCCTGGGAGCCCAGCAGCAGCAGCAGCAGCAGATAGTCAGCGCGGCGGCGTCTTTCCCGGGCCACATCCAAGCGCCCCTGAACATATTTCAGGGGGGTCCGGGCTGGAGGGAGTAGACAGGCGCGAGGCCGGACGGCCGTCTCGGGCAGGCGGGCTGCGCTCCGCTCCGCGCTCCTCGGCGCCGTCCAGGCTCTACCTCGGGGGCTGCATGGTGAGGCAGGCCGGCCGGCCCGGGGCCCCACTCAGGCCAGAGTCGCGGGGCGCTCTCGTGCCGTCCCAGCGCCCCTCCCGCGCTCCCTCGCTCGCAGCCTCAGCGCCGCCGCCCGGCCCGCTAGGCGCTGCCCGGCGTCCCGGCGGGGGGCGGTGCGGGGCACTGGGGCGGTGGCGGCTGCGGCGGCGGTGCCGCACTCCTCATAGTGTCGGGCCCCTCAGCTGCCCTCGGCTCCGCGCCACTTCACTCTGCGCCGGCGGCTGCCCGGCTCACACTCTGTTCCGGCCGTCTCGGTTCGGCGCAGCTCTGCGCCCCTCAGCGCCGCCGTGCGGGCCCCACCGCCGCGCTCCGCTCTGCTCCCCTCGCCCCGCGCCGCTCCTCTCCCGCCCGTCCGCCCGCTGCCCGCTCAGTGCCGCTCCCTGCCTCGCTCGCGCCCTCCTAGGCCGGCCGACCGGTCCTTTGCCCAGCCCTTCGGGCTTCGCTTGTGCTCCTGCCGTTCGCGGGGCCGGTCCCGGGCCGGCTCCGCACCCGCTGCTCCCGGAGTTCCGGCTCGGGCGGGCCACCTGGCTCCTGGCAGCGCCACAGGCGCCGGACGCGGACACCGGGCTTTACTTAGTGCGCTTCTCGCTTCCGCCTCTCATTTGCACCGCTGTGGCGGCCGCCCAGCGGCACGGCCCCGTGGCTCCCGCTGGCCATGCCCCCTCAGTCTGTCGCCATCTTCCGCTGTGCGGAGAACACCTTGAGAGCCCGTGTGCGAGTGTGTTTGGGGGGGAGCGGGGCGGAGAAAGAGGCACTGAGAGGAGGAGGGAGCGGGACTGGGGCCCCGACTGCGCCTGCGCCTCAGGACTCCCGCCCCCCCACCCCACCCCAGCCCCCGCCGGCTGCAGCCTGTGCTGTTTGGGGATGTTTCCAGTCCACCCCCCAACTCCATTCACTTCAGCGCCTCCGTTCATCCGCCCGCTCCCCGCGTGCACACGCCACACGCTGAGTCCCAGGCCCTGGCACTCCCCCTCCCCCATCAACTAGGGCACCCGCCTTCCTCCCCTGGGCCGCCCCACACTCCCCCGAGGGCTAGGAGACTTCTGAGGGTGATTCTTGGAAGCGGGAGGTATCTCCATAACGTCTCGCTGCCTCCCTGGGTCGCCTCCCCTGTCCCCGTGACTAGGAGACGCTGGAGCCGGCTGCGGATCGGACCAGTCCCGTGTCCCTAACTCCGCTGTCGCCCTTACTGTCCTGCCCGAGGCCAAGGCGGCCCGTGGTGCTGAAGGACAGCTCCCAGTTTAGCTTGAGAAGAGGACTGAGCTTGGAGAGCGTCCGGGTGGGGGCAAGACTGTGGGATAAGAAGGGTAGTAGTGGTGGGGTGTCGTTTTTGCCCTTAGGAAGATTTCCAGCAGCCTCCCCCCAACCCCCGTCCTAGCTTTCTGGCTCCCCCTACAGGCTGCTGAGAATAGCTGAGCAAGAGTTAGGGAAGCTGTGCCGCCGGGATGGAACCATGTGCTTGGGGCCCTCACAGAGTCACATGGCTTTAGAAACTCGGACGTACAAACGTCCTGCCGCGCCACTAACCTTGTTTGGACTCCTCAAAATCTCAGATTGTTCCTGTGGACTACTTCCTTTCCTCACTCCCTCCTACTCCTTGTAACTCTCACATTCTAGTTTTTAACCAACTATTGTCAGCAAGGATTTGCTAACATGAAAAATGACGACAGAGAAAATAGCCTTAATTGAACGCATACTATATGCTAGATACTGCCCTAGGGACTTTACATGCATTGCTCATCTGATCTCTACACCGATCTTATTAGTCTTTTACCTTCATTTGCTTATGAGGGAGCTGAGGTTTATTTAGTATGATTAAATTGCCTATGGTAACCAACCTGTGCAGCCAAGACAGAAGCCCAGATAGCATGATTCTAGAGTTCTCTAACACTCCAGAAAGGCTCTAGAAAGTTGAAGGAATGGAAGACACAGTCCTGTCTTAAAGGGAATTATAGTCTATAATGTATATTTTAAAAACCCAAATATATATATTGGCTAATGGGAGGATTCATGGACCCGAGACTTCAGATCAGATTCTACCACTGAACATGATGTGTGCCCTGAGTGAATCCTTTCCCTTTCAGAGTCTTGGTTTTTCCATGAATAGCAAGAGGAGATGCCAAGGGTTAAATTGCCGCAGTCTGGCTGGGCACACAATCACGAGCCACCACACAGCTTGTAGATTCAAACAGCAACTCTTTATTCCCGAACTCACACCAGCCGTCTACAATCACGTTCTGGGGAAATCCACGTTCTCTGCCCAAATCCACCTCCACTGGGCTTCTATCTCCCAAAAAATACTGTCTGAATCCCCTGAGAACTCAAGGGGAACTCAGGCAGCAGGATACGCCCTATTCCCAGCAGGAATAATCTTAAACCTTAAACCTGAAACCTAAACTGGGAACGCCCTAAACCCGATTATCTTAAACCGGGAACACCCTAATCCGCCCTGGTCCTTGAGCAAGGTCACCTACATTCAATGTCACTGCAAAATGTCAGCAACATGGGGTACGCTGGCAAGGAAATTGTCATACCCACTTGGCTAATGGCTCCCAGCATTAAATGAGATGAGTGGGGATTGTTAGCACAACTCAGAGGGAGACTGGGCTGGGTGCATGAAAAGTATCTGGAAGAAAAAAGAATTAGAGCTGGTTCCTAAAGAAGTAATAGAATTTGAATGGGTGGATGGGAAACACATTCCACATAAGAGGAATGCAGGTGAAAAAACTCCAGGGATGGGGAACAGTCTTATATATTTGTGAAGCCATGAGTGTGACAGTTTGATGCACTTGACTTAAAGAGTTGTGAAGAAATAGAGGGAAATGAGACAAGGTACAAACGTATCAGGCATTTATTTGGGAAGGCTATTAATTCATTTTTGTTCAAGCACTATGCCAGGGACATAGGAGTACTGAAGTGGACCAGACATAGCCCTGCCCTTGAGATGCTCACAGTTGAATTCAGGAGGTATGCCTGTTAGAGAAGGAATTGCAAACCAAGACAAAAAGATGATATCGAGGAGAGGTCTCCCTTCCACAGAGGGAGGGACCAAACAACTATACCAGCTTCCTTCAGAGATGATTTTGCACATAGCCACTTGACTTGGGGCATTCATACATTCATGTATTTCTCAAACATCTATTGAAGATCTATTATAGTCCACTTGCTGTAGTAGACATCAGGTATAGACTTAAATAAAATGTGTCTTTGGGCAGAGGGAGATGAATTGAGGTCTTAAGGTGTCAGTGGGAACTGGCTAGCCAGAAAGCAGGGAAAGTGATGTGTGAAGGATATCTCAGGCAAAGGGAAGTCATGTGTAAAGACCCAGAAGGGAAGCCAGGGAAGGCATGTTCAGAAACTTGCAAAGTGGTTCATTGTGACTAGGTGCGAAGTGGGAGCACTGCCAAGAAGGAGGATGAGGATTTGGCAAGAGCCAAATCATGCAGGGGCCTGGATGCCATGCTAAGTAGTTTGGAATTTGTCCCTAAGGGGTACTAAGAGCTGTGGAAAAGGTTGAAAGGTTTTCAGGAGGAGGTGACATGATCAGACTGGTGTTTTTGGAAGATTGATTTGTCTGCAGCGTGGAGGGACTGGGTTGGAGGGGGTGAGACTGGAGGCAGGGAGACTGGTTAGGAGACTAGTTAGTGGTCCAGGTGAGAGGCATTGAGCACTGAACAAAGGCATGAGCAGTGGGTGTGGAAAAAAGAAATGCACATGGGTGGGGAAATGAAAGATGCATAATTGAAAGGATCTAGGACTGGCCTAGATGTAAGAAATAGAGACAGGTTTGAAGAAGGAGGGTGAAACCAAAGGGTACCAATTAGTGAAACTGGCATGACTACTCCTGCCCAGCTAGGAATTGTCTTTTCTGAGCCATTCTTTGTTTAGTCCTTGGAGGGTTCAGTATTCTGTTTAACAAAGAAGGCTAATGGCTTACAGATACCTAGTTTAGAGCTGATTGGCAGGGCCACAGTGATTGACACCCTTGAGTGCCAATGAAAGAACAGCCTGCCAGGCGTAGGCTATCAGCTCTGAGCACCTCTGGAGCTTTCTGTGAGAAGTCACTCAGGCAAGACTCCCCTCCCTCTCCCCCAGCACACACAGGGCGAAAAGTGTCTCACAAAGGTCCATTTATCACAGGAGCACAATATAACAATAACTTACCCACACAGTATCCGCTGCACACAAAGGAGAAGTGGTAGCACACCAGCAATCAGAGGAGACTCTCATTCTCTCACTCTAGATGACATAAGAAATGGGGCTTGGGCAGCAAAAGCATAGGCATCTAATCAGTCCCTGGAGCAGAATAGCCAATGTGAGGAGAGGGACTAGAGTGGTCTGCTGCTCCCCAGAGCTGGTAGGCCCTGCTAGCCTTCTCAGTCCTTCTTATCTACCTTCCCATCCCCCCTAAGCAGAAATATCAAGGTGAGTCACTGCTGAGGTTTCCCACTGCTGGAAAAGGCACCCTCAAAACCAGGAAGTACGGAAGACAACTTGTAGTAGAGGGAGGAAGGGAAGGTTTTCCACAGTGAAACACTGACAATTTAGGAAGAAGAGAAAGTGGAAGCTGTTTAGAGGCCAATGTGGATACCAGGGAACTTTCTGTTAATCTCAGTTCTTTAAAGGTCATGGGCAAATGGTAGGAAGAATGGAATGTAATTAAGGGTGAATCGGAGAATCTGGAAGGAGAGTGCCAGGTGGCTAAAGCACAGCTTGAGCTGAAGCTTGTCATGGTCTCTCTGGGTCTCACTTTCTGTCCACTCCTCCCTCCAGAATTGGAGTAATTTTTCTCATATCTGCAGGCTACATCTGTCCTAAGATGTAGCCTGCAGATA